AGAAGATGTGCCCTCTAAATCCGGCTGCAACCAAATAAAACTATTTCCCTATCTTCAGTGCTATCTTAGGTGCCTTGCCTTGTCTGTTCCTACAACAGTATAATTCTATATACTTAAACATTGTTCATGTTTTCATGAAATGGTCAACAGATGTGATTAATTGTGTGCTGCAAATAACAAAATATCTCTTATTAAAATGAAATAATTTGCCTAAATTCAGAAATTTACAAGGATTATTTAAAAATGTAAAAAAAAAAAAAGAAAGAGTTAACAAATAGGAAAGAGAAATTAGAAGGTTCTAGGTATGGATTTAATAGAAGGAAAATGTGTTTCTGGATAAGAGAGTCTGTTAAGTAAATAAGAGGGTTTAAGTAAGTGCTAAAGAAGGTCTGTATATACAACTATGGTTAAACAACAACTGTTATTTTGCAATATTGTAATATGTTATTTCTCTAAAAGCTAAACTTGACTAATATAAAAACATCAATAATAATTGTGGTACTATTACTCTTCTTTGTACATTGAATGTGCTCATATTTTCCAGGTATATGTCATTAAGATAGAAGCTTTAAAAAAAAGTATATCAAGCTGGTGTTCTCCAAAAGGTTGCATGGTTATTTTAGGCTTATAAAAATAACATATTGGAGATTTATTTATATCATTTAATGTTTTATAACTGGACCTGTTATCAATAAGATTAATATAAAGTTCTATACACTAGGTACAATTTAAATGTAATATCATATTGTGTTAGCTAGTATTCATGTGACATCAAGCAACAATATATGTAAACTTTATAAAATAATATTTAAAAAAAAAAAAGATCAGCTTCAATACTAGAACACTTTACCTAAGATTTATAAAGAGCCCTGGCTTACCTGAGATAAGGCTGTGCTTCCCATCTTACTACATGTAAGAATGACTCCAAAGTAGGCCAAACTTCAGCTAAAGCCCAATACTCTTAATTTAGGGTGAAACTGACTTTGCTGGATGTTTATGATCAAGACTTAAAGTTAAACTAAAATGGCCAAAAAAACCAATATTTGGCTCTGGCCCTCTGAGTCAGTCTGAATACAGGGAACAGGGAACTTCTCTAAAGAGCTTTGCAACTCTGGGCCACATAACCTCCTGATCAGGGAGATTAATGAGACCACTGGAGAATAAAAAGCCAATCAGTGCATTTGCTGTGAATAGGAGGGTCATTGGAGACAGGAGACATCCCTGATGCTTCCAAGGAAAGCCACATGGTCAAGCAAGACCTGGACCCATCCTAGCGCAAATGGCACTAGCAGAACTAAGAAGCTGCTCTCAGGTTCCCCCACGAGCGACCCCTATGGGAACTCAGCTGACTCTTAACAATAGATAGAAACAAAGTCAATTTTGACCAACTTGGTCTTAAACACCTACCAAAACCAGTTAAGCCAAAACCAGTCATTCCTGGGAGTAATGAAGGACAAGAACAGCTAGAAAAGAGGAGACAGCAACTAAGCCAACAGGCTCCATGGGGAATGTTCAGTTAAGTATGGCCTTGGCTCCTCTCCCTCACAGGACCCCTATTAGTCCTCTCTATGTTTCTCCTAATAGGACCCTGTCTATTAAATTGCCAACAGAAGTTCATGCAAGATCAGATACATAAATTCACCAACAAGCTGGTCAATCAACTACTTCTTTAAGACTACCAGCCCTGATGCCCAAGATGGACACCTACGACTCATGACCAACTCCTCTGGCTCCAGAGACTCTGTGCCCATCTAAAACCCTCTCTAACCCTTTTTCCAATTTTCACAACCCCTCTTTCACTTCCTAGGAATGAGAACTACTCTCCAGCACGTCCACTCTGCTTATTCTGTCTGCTCTACAGTATCCCCACAAGGAAACATCAAACCTAAACTCCCCCTGGTACCACCATGTCTCCTACCTTAAAAAGGCACTTGTTCCAAATTTCCAATCCTGGACTTCCACCACGCCCACCAAACACAAAATTTCTCACCAACCCTCTTCTTCTTTTACTAATCATTATTCTCTCTCAAGTTTTTATCTCAAACCACAGATACCGCTTCTACATCCAAGCGACATGACACCAGGATGACATCACCCACTCTCAGTTTATGGGTCAAGGCGATTGCCCTTCCACTGGCTGCAAGCGGTCTGTCACCCTTAACATTACTGGATTCAACCAAGCCACCTCCAATACTTCCTAGAGTCCCTGCTACAGGACCAGTGGCTGATACCAAGAATCTCCTCCATCTAGGACTGGTTTGCTGCCATCGAGGACTTGTGGCTTCAAGGAACTTTTATGGACTTTACCCCTACCACAGTAGTTGTCTGTAGCCACTGAGTGTTATTTCTGCCCTGGTGTTCTCAGACCTGTCCCCCGAACATTCCTCCACTTCCCCTTCTAGGTCTAACGCCGCCCACCATTAAGCAGGAAGAAGCCAGAGGACTTTACGCCGTCCCCCGTGTCACTTAGAAAAACAAAAAGGGAGGAATGTTGGGTGCAGAGCAGGCTGAACTGTGTTGTCTGCTGGGCAGGCTGAACAGATGTTGGCTGCAAGATAGCCCACGCACTCAAACCCCCCTCTATCTGGTCCTTTATCACCTGTTTGCCTCAAGTCTGAACATTCAACCCTGCTTAAGGCTGAACACTTAACGCCCCCTTGGGCCAACAAGGCAGCTTGCAGACCCAGAGGCCCCATTAGATTTGGGCTATAAAAACTCCCTCCTGCCAGGCCCCCCTCTCTCTTGCTCTCTCTCTCTTGTTCTCTCTCTCTTGCTCCCTCTCTCTTGCTATCTCTCTTGCTTTCTCTGTCTCTCTCCTGTGTGCGCTTCCTCTCTCTCTCTCTCTCTCTCTCTCTCTCTCTCTCTCTCTCTCTCTTTCCTTCTTTCGTTTCTCTTTGTTGCACTGCTGCAATAAAGATCTTTTGGTTGCTCCGAGTGTTGTGGTCACTTTCCTTTCAT